GAGGCAGAGGGAGAGGGAGAGGGAGAGGGAGGGGGAGGGAGAGGGAGAGAGAGAGGTAGGCAGGCAGACAGACAGACACGCAGACACACACAGAGGGCGAGGGAGTGAAGAGGCCAAGGTCAACGACAGGGAGGCCAATACGCTTACCAGAAGGTGTTTCCGTCGCCCCGGGAGTCTTAGCAGCCGGATTCCGCCTCCAGCTGGTCGCTGCAGATGTTGATCTCGACAACGTTTCCGGAGGCACCCTCCTTGATGTCGACACACACACTCGTTACCGCTCGTCGAGATTCGGTTCCCGGAGACCAGGTTGTCGTTGCACGTGTCCTCCCCGTTCGTCCACTACGGGTGGGTTTGTTGGGACATGTTGTGGGGGCGGGGGTAGTCGGGGTTGGTTAGTCAAGGGTACGGCATCATGCGGTTGTTGTTGTTGTTGTTGTTGTTGTTGTTGTTGTTGTTGTTGTTGTTGTTGTTGTTGTTGTTGTTGTTGTTGTTGTTGTTGTTGTTGTTGTTTTCGTTGTTGCTGCTGCTGCTGTTGCTGTTGCTGTTGTTATCGTCGTTGCTGTTGTTCATGATGTCTTGGAACAAACCGCTCAGTACCTTCTGATATCTGTGCCGGTCCAATCTGACGCGTACGACTTCGGTCGTCACAAACCAATTGCCCACATGGAGTGCACATCGTATCGACATCTTTATACTGTCTCCATGCCGTCCCAGTTGCCTGCCCACCCACCCAACCCAAATTATTTCCATCTCTTGTGCTTCCCTTTTTATTCAACGGAGGGCGCCGGATGCGCAGCAAGGCTTGGTAGTGGTGTTCGATTTCCAGCCGTGTTGCCTCCCAGCATACGGCGCTGTTCCTCTAACCCTACTTGTTTTTTCTAAACTCAACCTTCGAGCTGTGGTGGTCTATCGTTTTGTTCCGCTGGGTGGTGGTCTGCCTACTTCGTTGTGGTGCTTGCGAAGGCAACGAAGAATGGGCTCTCAGCCGGCAATAAGCCGGGCATCCGGCCCTATTTAGAGCAGAAGGCACTACTTGTAGTTGAACGTTCAGTCTTTTGTCGCGGGCGTTTTTACCGGCCGACCACTTGGCGACGAGTTGCCCAACTCGTCTGGCCGTGCAATTCAGAGCGCCCGCGTTTACGAAACGTCAACTTGGCGCGGAGGCTTATTTTCTTGTTTCGACACTACCACCGTCGAGCGTACTTCATGTAGCAGCAGGTGATTCTGTTGTAGAGTCTGTCTGGTGTGGGAGGATCCACATCTGAGGCGTGTTTCAAACAGTCGGTATTTACCACGTGTTGACCAAAATCTGAGCCCTTTGTATATTCTTTGGATGGTTCGTTTCGAAAGGTCGATTTGTATCAAGTGTCTGGCCAAAGCTGACCCTTGTTTATACTAATCCCCGAGTAGGGGGAGTTTCTTCCGCGCGCACCATCACAACAGCATAACCCGTGCTGCGGAAAGTACCTGCAGTAGGCTGGATCGTGCGCCCCCCGTGAATATGTGTTGCTTTTGTTTTGGTACACACACCCGAAATGTTGTTGACGCGATGTTGTTGATGCGAATCGTTGTTGTCAGCACGTCGTATGCGTTAATAAATGAAGTAGAAAAAAATGCCCCCCCACTCAGAACACAGCAGCAGCAGAATATTTGAACTAGCACGCGAGTTGTCGCCGATCGCGAGCCCCTCCTCACTACGCCCTGTCGTGGTCTGCAAACCACACGCGAACACCCTCTGTGATATGCAGATAGTGAAAGCCGCGAGCTGTAGAGGAGGAGATGCGTGGTAGCTGGTCTGAACACGTGCCAAAGTTGGCCACTCGGTGTGGACGAGGTCAAAAAAAGAACAGCAGCAGCAGAACCAAACCGCCACACACGTAGCAGCAGAACCAAACCGACACACACGTGTCCCAAATGACAGTTGAAGGACGCCGCAAAGAGAGGACAAATCGGTGTGAACGAGTGACTTAGGGGTTGGTGCAAGGAAAGAACGACGCGAGAAGTGTTCACCTATTAGGAGTAGGCTTGGGCACTCGTTTTTTTTGCAGAACGTCAGATATCGATGAAACGGATTGTGAATAGAGTACATACCGGCACCGAACANGATTCTTCTTGTCGAAATGAGGATCAGAATGATGGTAGCGAAAACAAGGAGGACACTGGTGAAAGTACTCCTAAACGAACTCGAGTACTAGGTAATAGCCTTGGTAGACGCGTGCATTTTTCGTCTGTTGCTGCTGTTTCTGTTTTTAATCCGAAGGATAGTTTAGCCTCCCCCATGCTGCCCCCTCACGGGGTCCCAGTTCATGGTAGATAGAAGTGTTTTGTGTTTTCAACCGCACTAAGACTGACGTCTTTTCATTGGTCAGCCGGTTAGCGCGGTCGATGCTAATAATAAAGACACACACACAACACACACACCACGATATCCTGGCTTCGGCTGGGCTTGAAATAACCCTTTTGCTGTCCTCCACTCTTTGCATCAGTGGCTTCCTAGGTTCAAGCGAGGGCATGTGTGTAGCTGAGATGTGTGTCTTCGTGAAAGAACATGTAGAGAGAGTCGTATTGGCATTCGCATCAAGCGCATTGCGCATTTTTCGAATTTTGGCCTCCTTCCAGGGACCTTGACTTTTACGCGCTGGCACTGACGTAGGGTTTTGTGCTTGATTGGAGGCGCTATCTGACCACGTTCCTACCGCATTTCCAGCATCTGATCTTGTTTCTCTTCCCCGTCTTGAATTCTTCTTTTCTTTTAATGTCCAACGAGCTACCATTCCTACATTTTTCATCCTCAGTGCTGTACATATCACTATCGCACGCTTGTCGTTTCTGCACCTACTGCAGTAAGTACCTGGGTGCTGGAAGTGCCGATGTAGACCCTTTCTCCGTTCTTGTCCCCCGGGTTGAACATGAAGTNGGTCACACGGTCAGCGTCGGTGGTGGTGGTGGTGGTGGTTTCGGTCAATTCTGGGAAGTCGCCGGCGGCGAGAGCTTCGCTTGTGTGTGAGACATGCACCACCGATTGACGGATGGAACTCGAAAAAATATTTCGATTTTTTCGGAGCTTGGTTTTCGGAGGCAGAGCAGCTATTGTCGTGAAAGTTTGGGCGGGTTAGTCATAACAAATACAGAACGCGCCACCACTTGAGAAATTGTTGAGTCTCAAAAAAAAAATAGAACTTGAGCACCGCTTGTTGTTGTGTGCTCGGTTAAGAACCCCTACACTAACACCTATATTGCGACCATTCGTAGCATGACCCTAGGAATACAGTGAGAGTGTCAACCCCAGCCTCGGCTCGGCCGAAACTAGAGGTCCCGAAGTGCGGGCGTGTCCTGTACGGTACGATTCAAGAATCAGTTGAAGAAAAATAAAGGTGCAATAACAATTCGAACGGTAGTTCTACTGCTGCTGTGCCACGCACCCACAGTTCTGGACTATCATGTCCTCCATGACGAACCCGTCGAGGACGGCAGGCGACTGAGACCCAGGCCCTTCCACGTACACGCATTTGTTCACCCAAGAAAGCCTCGTCGATGTCCGAAGTTCCGACCTTTCCCTCGACGGTGAATCCCTGTGATTATTTATTTGTTGATGTCGACGCAGGTGTCGTTTCGTTGCTTGTGTTTTTGTCTGTTTGTTTTGTTTGTCTGTATACGGCAATTGATGTGGACTATCATAGCAACACTGAGTGCACAGTATTCGCGGATTTATTTAATGGACTGGTTTGATGTCTTTTCTGTGCCGCGTAGTAATAAAATTCGCCGGGATTCTTATTTCGTGGGATGACGAAACAATAACATCCTAACTTTTGTAGCAATCGACACTACAGTAACTGCTGTTGTTGCTGTGGAAGCGCGCACACTGCTGCTAACACAAGACATTGCACAACAAGAAGAGTGACCAGGATGACACACATACATGCAGCGAGCGGTCTGCAGCTCGACGAAAATGGAGTTATCACTCGCCGCTGCCACGCAATCCAAAGCGTGAGGGGATCCGGGGAAGAGCGGGTATCTAGATACGGAGGACTTGTGATGTTCGAACTACGGGAAATCATTCATGTCGTTGTGGTTGTTGTTGTTGTTGTTGTTGTTGTTGTTGTTGTTGTTGTTGTTGTTGTTGTTGTTGTTGTTGACGTTTCCCAACACGTGTTTACCCATCCACGCCCCGTCTAAACTCCAAGCACATAGAACTGGGACACCCGAATTATCGATCACACTAAACGGTTCAATCTTGCCCATGATGCGTCATTCTTTTGGCGATTATCGGATACTGTATGTAACGTGTCTGTAGACTATTTCTACCCGACCTACTATGATGATCGCGGAAGCTAGGTGCGTTGGATCCACATGTGACTTTTGAACGGCTCTCAGTAGGTTGAATCCACCGAGAATGAAACCGGTGTCCTCTGTATGGGGTCCTCGGCGTAGAAATAAGAACAAGAACCAACCCCGTTTGTCGTAGGTGATGCCTGCTCGAAATAAAAACTTTGAAAATGAGAGCATGTGCTCAACTTGAGGCAGCCAATAAGCATCGCGCCTCGGCCAAAATAAGCGGTTCTTAATTGCGGGCGCCATCTGTACCGCGAGTGAGCAATTCAAATCCCACCAACCAGTGGGAACAGCTCCGTCTGCACGCACACGCTCTCTTTTCTCTTTCGATAGACAAGCGTAAAGGTGACAGACCAAAAGATGAATCTCCCTATATTTTCAACGGCAGATTGTAACCGCCGCAGCTACAAGGCTTCAGTCTACAGTGGACATGCTCCGGCCGTGTATTGACTGGCTGACATACCGGTCGCCCCGGTGGTCTAATGGGTAACCTCGCAGCCTGCTAAGGGCCAGGTCTTGGGTTCGAGTCCCGGCAGAGAGAGTTTTTTCTCACTAAATATATCCTGGTCTAGGATGAAAGCGACGCGTTGCAAAGATCGTTGTTCAGTAAACCATAATCGACTTCGTAAGTCGCGAGGGAAGGGATTGCTGTACCCTTTTCGAGATAAAAATACCCCAGGCGGTAACCGCAGGAGGGGGTCCAGCCCCCCCCTACTATGTGACCCCGGTCGGGTCGTCTAGCTAGTAGAAGTGGAGGATAGGGGCCAGAGGGGCAGACGACAGAATCCGATTATTAAAGGAGAAAAAAAAAAAAACTGTTGCCGGGCGCTGAGCCAAAAAAACGCGGCAGGGTTCACGAGCAATTACTCTCTCGTCAACCAGATGATGGAGAGGATACATTGATCATGCGCCTCGATCAGCCGGTGGTCAACCGTACAACCCCCATGGATCGACCTGGCCCCACCAACCGGTTGCCCCGTCGCCGCCAAACTCTAACCGTAGCCTCGCCAGTGTTGTGTGTTTACGGCCCCACAAAAGTATGTCGGCTGAACTGGATAATTGGAACGCTCATGGTATCTAGTCTAGAGCAATTGTTACCACCTTGAATTTTTCCGCTTGAAGAGTACGGTACTGTACATATGCCGACAAGCACACACGAAGCGACATGTTCGCAGTGTGAGTGGCGTGCCTGCTGTGTGCAAGGGCCGAAAGGTCAAAGTCCCTCCTCATGTATTTGAAACACACCAATCGCACCTGCCGGATGTGCTTGAATCTGAGCAGGGATGCCCGAACAACCACGAAATGTCTGGATTGGCACCACAAACGCGATGGCTATGACCAGTTTCTGGTCCTTCGTTGCAGCCTGGGCCGGCGAAAGACGGGCATATCGCTCCGTGCCGGAATGTTAGGGATGGAAGGCCGACGATCTAACGACTACGGAATGAATAAGTTTAGACTACATTATGAAATCCCTCGATCAACGTTCACCCAACGCACAGCACGAGGCGAGCAAACTCGTGCTACAACGCCATCAACGGGAGTCGCTCCCCTCACATCCTGTGGAATGGTGGAGCGCGCATAGTGCACCCTCGAGGCCCCTGCCACACTGTCTGCTTATTCCAAATGGCGGACTGATAGCTTGCGCTGAATGAAGCGTTCTCGCCAATGTGTGTCAAAAAAACTCATGTTCGGGGTATTGTTTGACTTGTGCACGTAGGAACGTCGCCGCCTCAGTGTAGAATATAGTGACGCCACCGTGGGTGACGACACCAGTCGACCATCGACTTATGTCAGTCAGAAATATCATTTCAAAATAAATTGGCCAATCAGAAAACTACGGGCACCTTTTCACCTCTCTAACTGCGGCCACATGCTTTCCCTCTCTGTTCTGTACTACGTTCCACAGGTGACACGATACACCACACCCGCTGGACAGATTCTCAATTCTCGACTCACTCAATCACAGTAGCGGCGGTGTGCCGAAAACGGCGACTTTGTTGAGCCGTCGCGTCGAGAGCTCTTTTCGGAAACCGCGGCATCGTTCCATTTTCGTTGCGTTGTTCTCTCTCCGTCGTGGAGAAATCGAGCTTTGACAACAGGTCTAGAGGTGTGTGGTACCTTACGTCATGTCAGCACCAAGAATGGTATTTTTGGAAACATCTCGTCGAGGGCTTTTCCGGTACACGTGTGTGGCTCTTTCCGCGCGCCCTTGGTTGTGTAGCAATCGAGCTTTGAAAGTCGCCCTAGTGGGAGTGCCGTCTCTCCGCCTCCTACGGTAAAACTTAAGCCTCAAAAATTTCAAAATGATAGTCAAGAAGCCTACACCAAAAACAAGACAACGAGCCCCGGCCAAAACGAGCTTTCGTAAGCGGTGGCGCATTCTGTACTACGACACGACGGCTTCAAGGCGGTGCCCGCTGAATGGCTGGAGCGGACACTTCTGTGCTAGATACGACGCGACGGCTTCAAGGCGGTGTCCGTTGATTGACAGAAGCACACAGTTCTGTACTACGACACGACGGCTTCAAGGCGATGCCTGCTGATCGGCTGAAGCGGGCAGTTCCGTACGCTCCGCCACCCGGAGACGAACGCTCCTCGCCCTGGGGTTGAGAGCCACCTCCTCCTCGCCCGCCATGAGGGGTTTCCTCAGGAGGGGCTTCCAGGGGCTCAACAGGTTGCCGTAGAAGTCCTTCTCCACCTTGCCCTGCAGCAGCACACGGCGTTGGTTATCGTTGAGAAAGGGCGACGCGTTGAATGTCAGGGAGGGTGAAGGCGTCGGATAGCTTTCGTTACAGGGCGTTTACAGAGAGTTAGTTGGTTGTCCTTGAGAAAGGGCGGCGCGTTGCAATCAAGGAGGGGAGGGGTGCTCATGTAATCGCATGCCGTAGATCCTAGACCTTGCATCCCTACAATGCTGCGGGACAGAGCGATATGAATGCCGGGTTTCCGCCGGCCCAGGCTACGTTTCACAAGAAGGTGAACCACAA